GATTTGTACCTATTAATTCTTTTTGTTTAATTGCAAGATTTGAAACTGCATCTTTGAAAGTGTTTTCGGACTAAACTTCAGAAGAACTTTCTACTTAGAATGATCAGTACCACCATGCCTCAAACTATTTGCTATTCCTCCTAAAACACCCTGTATGTATATTTTGAGTGTTGTGCAAATAAATAGACATACTAGAAAATTTTCGTTACGATATTTACAAAATTACACTACTAAAAATGACAAACATAAATACAATTATTTTGTTGTTATTGTCGATAAAAAAGGAACCAATAAGAGATTAATTAATTAATTGTAAGTATATAAATTCAAAATGAAATATACGAATAAAATGAAAAGATTGAAATAAATTGTCGAGTTTTCGTTGTCCTTTGAGAAAAAGATTGTCGAGTCAAGTATGTCAAATCCTTAAAAGGACCAAAATACATTAGAAAATATTACAATTGCTTTACCTGTTTCAACTTCAAGAATTTTAATTTTCTTCTATTTCACCGTTATGCGATGCTGTTGGAGGTAATTGGATTCTCTTCTAGATTTAAATACTTGTCCAATTAGGGGCTCCGTTTGGGGGAAAAGAGAAACAATTTTGCCCGGGAATTTTAATATTTAGAGAGTTGCGGCGGACATAATTGCGGGTGTATTAAAATAGCTGTCTCTGATGGCACAAAGGCAAAGTATTTTGTTGTGCTGCCACCGAATACGGTTGGAAAGATGTAAAAATAAAATGTTGCGGTCGTGGTGTTTTTGACAGTTGGGTAGTCTATTTTCAGTTTGCTGTAGTGCCGTATTAATACCAATGCGATGCGACATGATGGAGGTTTAAATTTTTCTCGAAGTATAATACAACACGTCAGTCGTTCGCGATTTTATAAATGCAATGTATACCAGTGAAAATCTCATCTCAAAGTTCATTCAAGCATTGTTACGGCTTCAAATACATACCGAAATACGAGAAATGGGTTTGAGCATTTTGTTACCCCCATGATACAGTAGAATATACACATACGAATGATCATAAAGTAGGCTAACTTGCATTTTCTCTGTACAACGTATAATACTGGAATCCCGATTGTTCTCTTATCGGGATATTGCATATTGGGGTTTAAAATTGCAATATTAGTCGGCGTATACGGGGGTGGCTCAATATCTTCTTGGACTGACCCAGACAGTGGCGTATTTAGACTTAATGCCACCCTACTTAAATCTGATAGCGCTTCCATTGACATTATAAATTAATTATAAAAAATAATGACACAATTGTTACAAAAAGTATTTATTTGAAATAATTTTTTTTAAGAACGTTTCTACTAGATTACTGTAACGCAAAAAAGTCAGTCAAGCCCAAAAACTTTAAAGTTCTAGTCAGACTGCTTTCTACTGAAATCAGACAGTTAGTAAATTTAGTTGATAGTCTGGGTGATAGTACTGCCGAGGTATTTTTTTATTCTAGGATATACAGATGGATATTTTCTACTTAATTAGAGAACTATGCACATCGACAATCTTTAGGAATCCTTGAAAATGTAGACATTCATTTACCTATACAATTAGTTGGATCTGTAAGCAAGTTACATTTTATAATTAAGCCAACCTAGACTCTGCATTAAACCTCGCAACCATCGAACTGACGTTGAATCGGGTCTAATATATATATCGAAGTTCTGCTTACGATTAGCANTTTGTATCATATTTAATGTTAATTAGAACGTAATTTGCATCCAACTTTCTTAACACACAAAGGGAATTGTTAATTTTCTTTTATTTGTTTTGTTAAAGTAAATTTTATGTTGTATGCGGTGTTTATTGTTTAGTCACAGTCAAGGGAGAACAACAAGGAGCTGGTATTGTCACTGAAAGTAGAACGGTACGTTTACTGAATTAAGTAATAGGCTCTCGACAATTGGTTAGATCAACTACCTCTCAGGCGGGCAAACAAAGGAATGTTTACAATGTCCCCGCGTTTTGTTTGGCATTTTAATGCCAGAGGGATGGTGTTGCTATGACATTTTCTATAATAATGTTTTAGTTTCATTCGCGAATGTTGTCTGTCGGCTTCTTGGTCCCTTAAGGAAGAACGTAGTAATTCGTGACGAGGTTACTTATCCTTGCTTCAAGTCTGCGAGAGAACTTGGAGTAGTACTGCACCGGCAGCTGCCGAAACTTGTGTGCAACTTCGGGGGTATTGTTATGAGTTATGCGAAAATTGTGCCGAGCTTGGCAATTTTTTATCAAGTTTGACATTTAATAAAATTTACTTGACTGCCTCTATCTGGCGCAACGAAGTTTTCATACTGAAGCGGCGCGGAAGAATTCTGATGGCAAACTAAAATAAGAAAAGAAGAAAACCAAGCATGTATGTTGGTATTGGAATATTTGGTGTTTCTTATTCTACACAGACTCTTCAATCTAAAATTGTTCTTTACCAGAACACAATATCAATAAGCAAAAAGTTATAAAGAAGCAAACAAAATTTAAAAACGTTTTCAATGCAATATGTCCCATATCTTCTGTAATTTATAATTCATATAGTCAAAAGTCGTATGATGGTTTATGTTTTTGATATTCTGAGCCTTTAATGTCATCTCAGGTGACAGGTTTATTCATGTATATTTGTTTAAGAAATTATGCTATTGAATGGATATAAAAAGAAAAGAAAGTATGGAATTATTGCGTTAATAGGATTTTATGAATGAAAGTGTTCTTTTTTAAAGGGTGCGTTGAATAATCTTAGAAAAGCCACCGCTTTCAGTTTTTTCAAAATAACTCAAAAACGAGGCAATTTTCGAGAATTTTATGAGAGTACTTTTTTTTAGAAAATTGAATTTGCCACCCAATTACTTCATTTAATTTTCTTTTTACTATATTTAGTATTGAACATAATTAAATACATTTAAAACAAAACGTGTTTGCGATAAAACAGGCAACTGACCATTGATATCTCTGTGAATTTTCATCGTAGAAAAAACAATAAAACAAGAAAAGGTCTGTTTTTTTAAGGGTTATCTTTTCTCAGAACACATATATAACTAAATCGCCCAGGAAAAAAGTTATAAACAATTTAATAAAAAAAAAGTTTTTTTTCTTAATTTTCTACTTCTACTAAAAACGGTAAAAAAAGAAAATTAAATAAAGTATTTCAATGGAAAATTTAATTTTCTAAAAAAGGTACTCTTGTAAAAATTTTGAAAATTGCTTCGTTTTCAAGTTATTTGCAGAAAACTGAATGGGGTGTCTTTTTTAAGATTACTCAAAAAGCACCCTTTAAAAAAGGGTCACTTTGTGGCTTTAGAAGCCAAACTACCATATTGAAGCATAAAACCTCTTTAACGCTATTGTTCAATACTAAAATCTGTATTCAATAGCCTAAAATTAAAATATAATAATTCATCGATTAGATATCGGACACACATGGGATATCATTCGTTTCGATATAAAAAAGAGCAAGAAAACGTTATAGTTCACTGTTAAAGAGAAGTTTGCGAGTTGGATAAAACTGTGAAACAGTTTATACATTATTATGTACTAACCATTTTGTTCATACCTTGCTTCCACTAACCAAAGTTGCTATCTTAATAATGCATGTTAAAGCTGATGCATAAATCGTTGCTATTATGTAATAAAATGGTTCTCATATGTGACAGCTCAGAATTTAGTTTGCATCTGGGAAACAAAGTTCGAGCTACTTGTATTATAGGCGACATACGATGTTATAATCTATGATGTATCGGGCAGCTACGATAATTCGAAGTTCTGCTATAAATTGTCTCACAAGTTGTATTAGGTACTTAGAATGCCAAAAGATCAAGGGAATTCTTCAGAACAAGTAATAGGAGCAAGTATCAGATGATTTCTATAAAGAAATAAAAGCTGCAAAACGAAGTTGTTTTTGCATCTATTTCAGACGGAAGAAAAGGGATGTCAGCCGAATTAGATTAGATTAGATTAGGTTAAGAAATTCAGATCATAACAGATCAGATTTTAATATTTGAAAATTACTAATTAGTTCAGCACTTTTTTGTAATCCAAGGTGGCGATATGAGACAGCGTTGTTACTGTAAAATAAGTCCTTAATTAATTTAATCAGTTGGTAAGAGTTTTTTACTTGAGACCTATGAATGCCATTTGGATAAAGTATTTGGGTGGGGGGGACTTTGGAAAAGGGTTTTACAATCGCTGTGCCTTAACAAGCAAAGGAAGAAAAAGTAGGGAAAGATAGGAGACGAAAAAAAAAAAANCCCTTTTCAGAAAATTGACGTGCACCATTCGTTTGTAAAGGTGGGAAATTTTAATTTTCATTTGAGGTTTTCATTTTCACTTGTGCAAGATTTTCCCGAAATCACAGTATACACTAAATATCAGATAAACGTTAAAGTGACTATAGTTGGGACGTTCAAAATTGACATAGTCCGCAATCAAACCGTTGCATTTACTTTCTTCGTTTAACTTTTAGGGGATGCAAGGTCAAATAACACAATAAAACAAATGAATTCAAACAGGACTAACAACTTAACAATAATATATTTACAAAACTGGAAGAATGAAATTAGAACTGAAGACTTAGCAGATTAATTGAATAGAACTGTAGGAAACCGAATTAGGAAGTGTTAATGTTTTGGAAATGAAAATGTTAGGAAAACTATTAGGGCGGAGTTAGAAGCATTTAGATGAAAGTACGGAACCAATTAGAAGAGAATACAATCTGGAAATGTGAATATAAAATATAGAATGTTAACCCTAAACCGCTGAAGAAACCTACCATTAAAAAGCAATTAAGAAGGGACAATAGTTATTGACATCATGCAGTTAGTACGTGAAGTTGAAATGTTAAAAGGGATTATAGAAAAGTCCAAGTAATAAAGTTATTTGCAGAGAACACAATAGATAGGTACATACACAAAAGATTTGAAATAGAAATATTAAGACAGATATTTACATAATGAGAATAACAGAACAATACAACACAATTTGAANCATATTGAGATGTAGTGTCTGCAAGTTCAGCAGCTCTTTTGTAAAATTTCTCAGGTAGTTCTAAGTCTTGGACACCTTTTAAATTTTTCCTTTCCCATCTCTCCAACCAAGGTCTTGGTTTTAATTTTACTTTAATTGGATTTATTGGTATTTCACTTCCTAAAGCACACATACTGTAAGTTATTATGGAAAGACTGAATTAAAAAGTGTTACTAATGTAGAAAAGATATAAATTTTTGGTGATGAAACTATGATACATTTCTTCTATACAATGAAAGGAAAAAAATTCCTAAACATTTTAATGAGAATTCTACATATACGTTAATTAATTACTCTTAATAAAGAGTGAAGTACTCAAACTGTATGTAGTGCTCTCTCTATACATTTGAAGCATTTAAAAGCTCTTTTCTTCATTGTATAGTATTATATTAATATACCTTCAGGTAATACTTCAGCTTCCATATTTATATCAAAAGTGCTGTATTCTGGTAGAGCATCCCTCAAGTAGAGTAATTCATCATCTAGTCGTTTTTCCAATTTCAAGACATCTATTCTTTGTATTGTGGGATCATAAATATCAAACAGAATCTCAATACCCTTTAAAGAAATTAGATTAGAAACAAGTAAAATAATGTCAAAACAGTAATGTACTATTACCTGTGAATCTATAATATTTCTGAGGATAAAATTGGCTCTAAGACCACAACCTTCTCTTTTAATACAAATACCCACAAAACAATTTAGCTTTTCTGGGTTGTGCTTATCAGAATATGTTACTGACAGTATTGAACCTAAACAAGGGATATTGTATTAATAATTTTATGATAACTCCACACTAATAGGTGATTTTTTTACCAACGTAAAATTCCGGTATATGAACATTGCGTCTTCTGTTTAACATGTCCATGCGTTCTATTATTTCTCTAAGGGGATTTCTAAATTCTATTTTAGGATCAGGTAAAAATTCTGGATAAATTCGCGAAAACTTTAATTGAGATGGTTTTGTTTTATTAGATGCCAGCCTATTAGTTACTTGTAGGGCTTCCGCAGTTTGAGAGTTGCATCTGAAACCTGCAACAAATTGTTGAACTTTCAAAATAACAGTATAATAATATTTTTAGAACCTTTCAGAGACGTAGAAATAATTTTTTTTCGGCTAGACGAAAACATACTACTTGCTTTTTAAAATCTAAGAAAATACATACAAATTAAAAAATGAGATAACTTAAAGGTTATGTCGTTATGTTGTGTATTTATAATGTATGTATACTTTAAGATTTCTCAATTTTCTCCTTGTATACTTATACACAGATGGCACCACGAAATCAATTCCATTTTATTTTTGAAATTATAATGCTACTGTTCGCCAGATGTCAGCTTATTAATTATTTCTGAATGTTTAATGTAGTAATCTAACGGTAGGTGGCCATATATGAACCAATTTAAAGTATTTAGTTGTGTTATGATTGTTTTTAACTTTTTAACAATACATTTTGTAAAAACGTGTTATAATAACAAAAATTCGCCATTAAAAGTATTATTCTCTAAAGTTTATTGAATTATCCGTGCTCGGTTCGCGGATTTTGTTTATAAAGCTATTAATAGTTTAAATTATAAACAATAATGTTCTCCATATGAAGTAGAAGTACTGAAGCGATTCGAATTTTGAAATATTTGAAGCAGTTTCTGGAAGTACCTTCTCGTTGCCTGAAAGTAAACTGTGTACAACTCGTTTCAAATGGATAAAGATGTGATCTTGAAGAAAGAAAGGCGTGAGCAAGACAGAAATAGTTTGAACGAGATAAAATATGATGAATGAATGATCATGAATTTGGAATTTTGTTACGGCGAATTCAGGTAAACGGAACAGGAATATCTTTAACCATTTATAATGAGTTGTAGCGCGATTTTGTGTAGTGCTTTCAAAAAAACAACAAAAAGCTAGCAATCAATTATAATATGGTGTAAAAGCCTGATTTTGTAGATCAAGAACCAATCCCAGGGTAAACTGACTTTTACCCTGGGGTTGGTTGACTTCTCCCTGGGGGTAAGTTAACCTAAGAAGTAATTAGTATCTACAAAATTTAGGGGTAACATTGTTACAAAAAAGTGAATTTATATATTTATTTTGAGATATAGCTACTCCACCATGTTATACAGTAACGAATTTTATATATTGTCACGTATTTAAACACTCTCTCGCACTATTACTACTTGACGATCACTTTGTCATTTTTTCGCTCTTTCCAGTTCACTTTGTATCACCATGTAACTCCAACTCGTACTAATCCACTCGATCTCGAGACAACTATTTATAGGGGCCGGTCGTGGTTCTAGAATGATCCAGTATATGCCGTCAAGAAACGCGGTCTTCTTTGTATGTCGGGTTGCTTACTTACATGTGACAATATTTAGAAATGGAACATAATTATTTTAATTTAATATTGACTCTAGACAAAAATTTTCAGTCTCTGCCCAGTCTCTCAGAGTCTTTCAGCGTCTCTCACAGTCTCTTAGTTATTGCCTGGTTGTTTTTATGGATCTCTCACAGCCTCTGAATGAGACTCAAACGATAAAATAGTTAATTCAGAGATTCGAGTCTCTCACAGAGAGACTGAATAAATAAAACTGAAAATTTGAGAGACTGGAGACTCTCGTAAAAAGACTGGGATCTCTGAAATATGTTGAACTTGGAAATTTTTAACCATGTCTATCGAGATACCACTTATTGAGAGATTCAAGTTTCTCGTTCAGAAATTCGAGTCTCTCGTTCAGAGAATGGATACGAAATGAGAATCTCTCTATGAGCGACTCGAGTCTCTCGTTCAGAGACCAGATACGAAATGAGGATCTCTCTATGAGCGACTCGAGTCTCTCGTTCAGAGACGCTAAACAGTTTTTTTGACAGTCTCTTTCAGCGACACCAGAGAGACTCGATGAGAGACGGAGACTCGAGTTTCGCTTTCAGAGACTCTGAGAGACTGAACATTTTTATCTCGGGCATTTCACACAAAAACGTTCACAAACCTACATATTATTATTATATTAATCCTATGATTAAAGTAATAGAATAGATTAGCATTTACTTCTCGATGATTATTACAAAGGTATGGAAANATCTAATTACATTTTTCAACTTTATCCACAAATTTTAATAGTTATCCGTCTTAGTAATATGTATTTCTGCTTTGATCCTTTTGTATCATATTTAATGTTAATTAGAACGTAATTTGCATCCAACTTTCTTAACACACAAAGGGAATTGTTAATTTTCTTTTATTTGTTTTGTTAAAGTAAATTTTATGTTGTATGCGGTGTTTATTGTTTAGTCACAGTCAAGGGAGAACAACAAGGAGCTGGTATTGTCACTGAAAGTAGAACGGTACGTTTACTGAATTAAGTAATAGGCTCTCGACAATTGGTTAGATCAACTACCTCTCAGGCGGGCAAACAAAGGAATGTTTACAATGTCCCCGCGTTTTGTTTGGCATTTTAATGCCAGAGGGATGGTGTTGCTATGACATTTTCTATAATAATGTTTTAGTTTCATTCGCGAATGTTGTCTGTCGGCTTCTTGGTCCCTTAAGGAAGAACGTAGTAATTCGTGACGAGGTTACTTATCCTTGCTTCAAGTCTGCGAGAGAACTTGGAGTAGTACTGCACCGGCAGCTGCCGAAACTTGTGTGCAACTTCGGGGGTATTGTTATGAGTTATGCGAAAATTGTGCCGAGCTTGGCAATTTTTTATCAAGTTTGACATTTAATAAAATTTACTTGACTGCCTCTATCTGGCGCAACGAAGTTTTCATACTGAAGCGGCGCGGAAGAATTCTGATGGCAAACTAAAATAAGAAAAGAAGAAAACCAAGCATGTATGTTGGTATTGGAATATTTGGTGTTTCTTATTCTACACAGACTCTTCAATCTAAAATTGTTCTTTACCAGAACACAATATCAATAAGCAAAAAGTTATAAAGAAGCAAACAAAATTTAAAAACGTTTTCAATGCAATATGTCCCATATCTTCTGTAATTTATAATTCATATAGTCAAAAGTCGTATGATGGTTTATGTTTTTGATATTCTGAGCCTTTAATGTCATCTCAGGTGACAGGTTTATTCATGTATATTTGTTTAAGAAATTATGCTATTGAATGGATATAAAAAGAAAAGAAAGTATGGAATTATTGCGTTAATAGGATTTTATGAATGAAAGTGTTCTTTTTTAAAGGGTGCGTTGAATAATCTTAGAAAAGCCACCGCTTTCAGTTTTTTCAAAATAACTCAAAAACGAGGCAATTTTCGAGAATTTTATGAGAGTACTTTTTTTTAGAAAATTGAATTTGCCACCCAATTACTTCATTTAATTTTCTTTTTACTATATTTAGTATTGAACATAATTAAATACATTTAAAACAAAACGTGTTTGCGATAAAACAGGCAACTGACCATTGATATCTCTGTGAATTTTCATCGTAGAAAAAACAATAAAACAAGAAAAGGTCTGTTTTTTTAAGGGTTATCTTTTCTCAGAACACATATATAACTAAATCGCCCAGGAAAAAAGTTATAAACAATTTAATAAAAAAAAAGTTTTTTTTCTTAATTTTCTACTTCTACTAAAAACGGTAAAAAAAGAAAATTAAATAAAGTATTTCAATGGAAAATTTAATTTTCTAAAAAAGGTACTCTTGTAAAAATTTTGAAAATTGCTTCGTTTTCAAGTTATTTGCAGAAAACTGAATGGGGTGTCTTTTTTAAGATTACTCAAAAAGCACCCTTTAAAAAAGGGTCACTTTGTGGCTTTAGAAGCCAAACTACCATATTGAAGCATAAAACCTCTTTAACGCTATTGTTCAATACTAAAATCTGTATTCAATAGCCTAAAATTAAAATATAATAATTCATCGATTAGATATCGGACACACATGGGATATCATTCGTTTCGATATAAAAAAGAGCAAGAAAACGTTATAGTTCACTGTTAAAGAGAAGTTTGCGAGTTGGATAAAACTGTGAAACAGTTTATACATTATTATGTACTAACCATTTTGTTCATACCTTGCTTCCACTAACCAAAGTTGCTATCTTAATAATGCATGTTAAAGCTGATGCATAAATCGTTGCTATTATGTAATAAAATGGTTCTCATATGTGACAGCTCAGAATTTAGTTTGCATCTGGGAAACAAAGTTCGAGCTACTTGTATTATAGGCGACATACGATGTTATAATCTATGATGTATCGGGCAGCTACGATAATTCGAAGTTCTGCTATAAATTGTCTCACAAGTTGTATTAGGTACTTAGAATGCCAAAAGATCAAGGGAATTCTTCAGAACAAGTAATAGGAGCAAGTATCAGATGATTTCTATAAAGAAATAAAAGCTGCAAAACGAAGTTGTTTTTGCATCTATTTCAGACGGAAGAAAAGGGATGTCAGCCGAATTAGATTAGATTAGATTAGGTTAAGAAATTCAGATCATAACAGATCAGATTTTAATATTTGAAAATTACTAATTAGTTCAGCACTTTTTTGTAATCCAAGGTGGCGATATGAGACAGCGTTGTTACTGTAAAATAAGTCCTTAATTAATTTAATCAGTTGGTAAGAGTTTTTTACTTGAGACCTATGAATGCCATTTGGATAAAGTATTTGGGTGGGGGGGGACTTTGGAAAAGGGTTTTACAATCGCTGTGCCTTAACAAGCAAAGGAAGAAAAAGTAGGGAAAGATAGGAGACGAAAAAAAAAAAAAGAAGTCGCCTTCAATTTCGATTAATTTAGAAATGTTAAAGGTGTATGTATGGAACCCGGCGCTGTACGGGTGTGAAACATGGACAGTGGGCGCGGCGGAAAAGAAAAAGTTAGAAGCGTTCGGAATGTGGTGTCATAGGCGAATGATGATGATACCGTGGTTAGAGAAGGTTAAAAATGAAGAAGTTTTAGAAATAGTAGGAGAACAAAGAACTCTATGGAAGTCAGTAAGAAATAGGCGAGAACCTATCTCGAGGACAGCGTCTCAGACATGAAGGTTTAGTCAGAGACATATTAGAGGCAGAAACGGGAGTTAGAAGGGGTAGAGGTAGAGCTAGATTAGATTACTGTTCGCAAATAGTTAAAGATGTGGGTTGTTCTAGTTTTAGGGAAATGCAAAAATTAGCTCAGGATAGAAAAGAGTAGAGGTGCGTGTCCCACCAGTCTTAGAATTAACGACCTTATGATGATGATGATGTCTTAAGGTTCCTTGACGGAA